TCTTTTGCTTGCGAGAGACGAAGCTCGTCTTATTGTTGTTGCCGGGATTGGCTCATTTTGACTTTGGTTACAGTGCTTGTGCTCTTTACCGAGCTAGTCCTCTTATACGTTGAGATTTGTTTTTTTTCTATTATTTCTATTATTCTTTATTACAGAATTGGATGAAATTCCTGGGCAGAACGAGCACTTGTACCCATGCATACCCCGAGCACTTTTTCGCAAATTAATTTACGATTTATTGATTTTCACGGCAGAGCAATACAAAAATACGTCTGAAGTCGTTGACGGTTGGCGGTTGATTAGCAGCTCCGAGCTTCTGGCCCGATTTTCAAGCGAAAGAGACAGCTGATGCCACCACCTTTGCCGTTGTCGACAGCGTAAATACTTTTGTTGCTGTAGGATCTCTTCCGTCATATATATACCCTACTAAAAGCTTGCCGCCACGCTGCTGACAACAAAGGACTGACAATAACACTAGTCAACACGTCAATTAGGCTGTGGCCCAAAATGACTTTTTCTTATAGATTTCGGGGCTTAGAAATTTTTAACGAATTATGGTTTTTTTTTATGGTTTAGTTTTTAAAAAAAAACTTTTTTTAAGAATTTTTTAAAATCTGGTATTTTTTAATGTTTTTTTTCCAGAGGTAATGCTTTTATTTTTCTGAAAAGTTCTGAAAAGCTGACAAATTAAGTTATAAGTCCGACCCAGACTCGGGAAAAACAAAGTACTACAAAAATTTGTAAATCCCACAATCTATCAGAAAAACTCATTTTGGTCCACAGCCTAAAGAAAAAGTACAATTTTGTTAAGTAGTGTAATATAAAACGAGAAGGAACGTGTTAGTCGCTTCTGGGGACGCGACTCTACCTATATCCGTACTCAGTCAGCATATACATTTTTGAGCATATTATTTTGTAGAATTTTAGAATAAAAAAAAATTTTACATTTGTTTGCTACATCTGTTTTATACATATACATATATTATGTATATTCTACATCTAACATGTAGATTATACATGTACCATTTAGATTCTACATCTCCTCCGCTAGGGGTTGCTCGCGCACTGAACGCGGCAGAGTGTGCGAGCGAGAAGGAAAATGAGTTGCGTTATCGTTGGCAGGAGTGGGCAGGGGAAGCAGCTGAAAATTATTTTCTTCATTCTGGCTATAATTATGATCCGATCTGATTCAGATTTAACAGTCTGGTAGATATGGGCATTCTCTACGATACTGCGTTTCAGTTTTATCATATCTTTAAAAATGTGCCTGCCACAGATTTTCGACCTTTGTGGGGACGGAAGGGGGCGGGGCGAAATTTTGAAATACACTTGTAGCAGTGTGATATCACATGAGTCTGGAAACCAAATTTGGTTGCCCTAGCTCTTATAGTCTCTGAGATTCAGGCGATATCGATGCCGATATCGATAGCAGACCCGCCCAGTGTAAAAAGGCTATAAGATTCCTGATCGCTGAACGTTGAATCCGGCTGCCATGTAGAAAAGGAACACATCCGTAATTTTCAATTTTCTTTGTCACACAGACCTCAGGGAACACATCCCATTGGAAACTTCCCACGCCGACGATTCTTGCAGCTTTTTTTTTTTAGTTTCTCGTAAAACTTTTACACTCTACACATAACAACTATAGTAATCCCAATTGTAAACTGTGAAGGGATGACTTTTGAGTAGTATAGTAGTGTTTATGGGATATAATAAGTTGAACAATATATGTATACTAAATTAATTGACAAGAAGGTTTTCTCGAAGGTGTGCTATCTTGTTCGTTACGACTTCTTAAGTAAGTATCGCCTCTGTTGTTATCGACGGCCATGGGTCTATCGTGCGTATAAAAGCCCCCATAGAGTTGACAGCTTCTGTTGACTAACAGCTCTTCACACATTTTTGTTTTAAGCCAACCTTAAAAATGAATCTGAAAAAATTGGTCTGGGCAAAAACAAATAGTGAATTCCTCCGAACAGTTGCGGCGGCCCGATTCGGTTATCGATAAGTCTCTGTAAAATATAACAGATGCACTTTACAGTACAGGGAGCTTTTTTTTACTTTTTGATTTTTTTTTTCTGACTTTGCTTCTTCGAGCAACGCGTTTGAGTTCGAGGGCACTAATAGTTGTTGGTTCGTTGTGATGTAGCAGGGTTAAGTTTGCAGTAAAGGTAAATCGGTTCTTGAGTCGTCACAATTTTATGAAAGTATACTAAGGTTCTAAAATCTATACAAGTGGTCAAGTTAAGGTCAAGTATTTTATTAGTTTGGTGTGATACATGATCGAAACGTCTTAAATTAAACACATATCGGACAATTGAATTGAAGGCTACTACTAATGTGCGCATGTCGCGAGCGTCACTATGACCAAATATTTCAACACCATAAAAGAGAATGGGGATGAGAATGACTTTAGAAATTAGAAGTCTTATTTCTTCTGGCAAAAATGTTTTAGACGCTGACAATTGGCGCAACAGACCATAGGTACGTCCTGTTGCCTTTGATATATGTTAACTTCATGACAGTGTACTAAATGTAATACCCAGGTTAACTGCATGGTCTTCATAGGAAATGGGCGTATTGTCATTGTGAAGTTTCTCCAGATTGCTTGTATTAATAATTTTTTTAGCAATTTCCAAACATTTTGATTTTTTAAGATTTATTTTCAGGTCATTCTCTTTTGCCCATTTCTCTATTGTGGAAAGCATTTTGTTACACGTACTGACACAAATATTTATTTCGTTAACGGGACTGCTAACATAAATTTGGACGTCATCAGCATATAGATGTAATTCACATTCGGACAAGACAGTAGGTAGATCATTAACATATATTGTAAACAATAAAGGTCCTAACACAGATCCCTGAGGGACTCCCCGCGTAAGTTTCATGAAACTGTAAACATTCTTACCTGAGACTACTGCCTGCAATCGATTTGTAAGATAAGACTTAACAAAGTTGATTGCAGTGTCTGAAAAATTGATTAAGTTCGTCAATTTTGTGCAGAGTATGTTATGGTTTACGGAGTCAAATGCCTTACTATGGTCAAGAAGTGTTAAGAAAGTAACCCAGTTCTTGTCAAGTTGCTGTCGTATATCTTCCACAATATCCGTTATGGCACTTATACAACTTCGTTTTTTCCGAAACCCCGACTGCTTTTGGCTAATCAGCGAGTTTTGAGTCAAAAAGTTTTCAATCTGTGAAGACATAAGATTTTCAAGAACTTTTGAGAGAAATGGAAGTATTGAAATGGGTCTGTAGTCATTGTTATGTTTTGGGATTGGTAAAATGTTTGCCTTTTTCCATACAGTCGGAAACGAGGACGTAGTAATGGCGTTGTAAAAGATATACGTGACGTGGGACAAAATCTTGGGAAGTAACATTTTTAAGAATTTTGGAATTTATCACAGAGTGGCGTTGCATTCAGGTACGTGTTGCGTGTCGCTTTAGGTACACCAGTCATCGAAAACCTTCTGTTAAGTTTTTAGCATCAAAAGCCGAGTCGATATAGCCATGTCCGTCTGTCCGTCCATCCGTCTTGATGAGCGCCTGGATCTCAGAGACTACATATAAGAGCTAGGGCAACCAAATTTGGTTTCCAGACTCATGTGATATCACACTGCTACAAGTGTATTTCAAAATTTCGCCCCGCCCCCTTCCGACCCCACTAAGGTCGAAAATCTGTGGCAGGCACATTTTTAAAGATATGATAAAACTGAAACGCAGTATCGTAGAGAATGCCCATATCTACCAGACTGCCGAATCTGAATCAGATCGGATCATAATTATAGCCAGAATGAAGAAATTAATTTTCAGTTGCTTCCCCTGCCCCCTCCAGCAAACAACAACGCAACTCATGTTCCTTCTCGCTCGCACACTCTGCCGCGTTCAGTGCGCGAGCAACCCCTAGCGGAGGAGATGTAGAATTTAAAAGGTACATGTATAATCTACATGTTAGATGTAGAATATACATAATATATATAGATGTATATAACAGATGTAGAAAAAAATGTAATATGCAAAATTTTTTTTTTTAATTCAAAAGTTTCAAAAAAATTATAAGCTTAAATATGTATATACTGACTGCGTACGGGTATAAGTAGAGTCGCGTCCCCAGAAGCGACTCACACGTTCCTTCTCGTTTTTGTTTTGTGTTTCCACTTCTTCTTTGTGCGTGTTTTTCGGCGACTGCTCACTTATGCTTTGTTGCAGTGCTTAGATGTGTGTGCAGTGTCCTCCCATAAGTGTAGATGTGCATTTAAAGATAAATGGGTCCACGAGAATCTCGTATATAATGCTACAATTGGCTTAAAATATTATTTTTAAGGAATATATGTGTATTTCTATCTGTCCCGGCATTTTCTATTGTAAACGACATTTTTTGTTGTTGTTGCTAGTAGTGATAGTTACAACGGTAGGTGAATATTCCGAATATCAAACAAAGGAAACTGAAACGCCACCAGTACTCAACTCAGATCAGAAAAAATTTCGTTTACTCAATACTCAGATCAGGTAAATTTTTCGCCGACAAAAAGTGTTAGTATTTCAATCGTTTCCCAGTGTGACCATTGTAGGAAGAATGCATGCTCCATGATACACTGTTTTCTGTTTGTTTACATATGTATGTATATATGTAAACGCGTTATGCACACTTCAATATTTGATTAACCCGATCGTGAGGGTTAGCAACAGGCGGACCCGGGGGACCGGGAAGCGAGACATAGGGTTTTGTATAGGTATAACGAGAGCAGGCACGGCCAACCGACGAGTGTACGTTGATGAAGCGAAGGCCGCCAACAGCCCCCCCACCCGCGCTGGGGGGGCGGGGGGGGGGGGGGGCCCGGCCGGCCCGGCCGGCGGGGCCACGGCCCGGCCCCGGCGCACCCCCCGGGGCCCGCGGGGCCGGGCGGCGGGAGCGGCCGGGGGCGGGGGCATGGCCTTGAGTTTATTATGGCAGTGATATGGCACACAAGCGTTCTCAGGTCATCAAAGCACAGCAATTAGCTGGAAGCGGAACGGTAGAAATGATGTTTGGCTGTTTTAACCGCAGTCTCCCAGAGTCCGCCAAAGTGGGGAGAGCGAGGGGGAATAAACCGCCAGTCAATATGATCCGCAACGCAAAACTCCTGAACTTCCTTCATATGTCTTTCTGCCAGGAACAGCTTCTTCAACTCTGCCAACTCGTTCTTTGCTCCCACAAAGTTGGTTGCGTTATCGGACCAAATTTCCCTGGGCCGACCGCGAGTTAAAATGAATCGCTTTAGAGCGCTTATGAACGCTGGCGTCGATAGATCCTGCACAAGCTCCAAGTGAACGGCCTTGGTGGCAAAGCATATGAAGAGGCATATGTAGCATTTGATGGGTGGTCTGGTCCGCACCTCACTCTTATAAAAGAACGGACCACAAAAATCCACACCGGTGACTGCAAAAACGTACGACGCATTCACACGATCCTTCTGCAAGTCGGCCATAATATGCTGCAGCAGGCGCGGCTTGGCCTTAAAACATCTGGTGCAGCGATTTACGACGCTGGCCACTGTCTTGCGCCCTCCAATCGGCCAATACTCATGCCGAATAAGTGCGAGCAATGACCGAGGCCCAGCGTGCAAATTCTGCTCATGGACATGCACAATTACAGCAGATGTGACGGGATGACGTCTTGGAAGAATGACTGGGTGCCGTGCGTTGAAATCAAGTGATGAATTTTCCAACCGCCCACCGACGCGTAACAAGCCATGGTCATCTAGGAACGGCGCGAGTGACGAGATAGAGCTAGACGACTGCGCCTGCTGTTCGTCAAGCAGAGTCTTGGTCAGGCCACAAATGCACTCGCTGAATCGAACGAAGAAGTATCCGCGTACCACCAACGATGTCAGCTACTGTTAGTCCGGACGACCTTTTGCGCTGCAGAAACTTGAATACGTATCCAAATGTGCGCTGGATCTTTCCGAAGGAATTGGAGAACTTTCGGCCGTCAGATAAGTCTACGAATGGACAAACTGCAATCAGGACTCTCTTGCGCAACTCCAGTGTTGGCGCGGATTGAATAGACGCTGCTGGCCACAGAGGTTGCTCATGTTGAAGAAAAGGGTGGCCCGTGGGCCCAAAGATGCGATTCCAGAAGCTCTGACGGCGAAGCGCCTCTGGACAATATGTCAGCAGGGTTCTGGGCGGTGGGCACGTAGCGCCACTCCATCTGAGCAGTCCGCTCCTGAATGGCTGAGACCCGATTTGCAACGAATACGTTAAAGCTTGATGAGTCATGGCGCACCCAAGACAAGGCAGTTGTGGAGTCCGACCAGCAATAGAAGCTTCCAGTGAACAATTTAAGTTGCTGTATCTCACTGATCAATTGAGAAAGCAAGTCAGCGCCACATAACTCCAACTTGGGCACCGTCAATACCTTAAGAGGGGCGTCACGAGACTTCGCACACAGAAGTTGCACGTGCGCGCGATTATTTGTCCTAGACACAACGTAAATACATGCTACATAGGCGTCTAGGCTGGCGTCACAAAACCCGTGAACTTCCACTGTTGAATTGGGGAGAACTGACAGACGAGGAAATCTAAAAATCTGAGGGGTGGACAAACTCTCGCACGCTGATGAAAGAAACTCTGGCAAACTCTCATCCCATTGGAGCTGCTCCTTCCATACCAACTGAAGGAAAATCTTTGCCTTTGCGATGACAGGCCCAATCAGTCCTAAAGGATCATAAAAACGAGCAATCGTTGACAACATTGAACGCTTCGTCGGCTTTGATGGCAGCTGCTTGGGTACTACCAAAAAGAGAAAATTATCAGATGAAGGCTCCCAAACCAATCCAAGAGCCTTTGTGAAGTCGGTGCCATCGTCGAACCTTAGCAGCGTTTCCTAATCCTTATCAGGAATTCCCTCAAGTACGCCAGGGACGTTGGAGCACCATTTCCGAATTGGGAACCTTCCCCGAGCCAATAACTGGGATGTCTGCCTCATCTTTTCGCGCACTTCCTCTACAGATCCTCCTCCAGTCATCAAATCGTCGACATAGAAATTGGAGGTCAACACTTCCGAGCCAATGGGAAATGCAGTCCTCTCTTCTTCTGCCAATTGGAGCATGGAACGAATTGCAAGATAGGAAGCCGGTTTGGTTCCATATGTTACGGTGTCGAGCTTGAACGCCTTCACATCCTCGTGAGGGGAATCCCTCCATAAGATGCACTGCAGGTAATTGTCCGGCTCAGATACTCGGACACACCTGTACATCTTGCAAATGTCACCAGTCAGCGCAATGAGGAACGTACGAAAACGAAGCAGCGTATGTAGCAGCTTTGGCTGGATAGTAGGACCCGCCATTAGGACCTCGTTTAACGAAACACCTGTTGATGTTGTGGCAGATCCATCGAACACGACCCGCAATTTGGTGGTCGTGCTGTCCTCCTTAAACACGCAATGATGCGGTAGAAAATAGCGACAACGACTGAGCAGTTCTGATTCCACCAACGACATATGATTAAGCTCTTGGTACTCCCTAATGAAAGATGCGTACTGAGCCTTCAGCTGCGGACGACGCTCAAGTTTCCGCTCCAAGTTGAGGAACCGCCGATATGCTTGCGTGTATGAGTCGCCCAAGATCTCCAAACTTTTCTTGATGGGCAGCTTCACGGCAACTCTCCAGATGACAGACGCGAAAAATTTGCTTTGAAGTGATCTTCACAATCGACGTCCTCCTGCTTTACCATCACCGAATCTTCAGTGGAACTTTCTACCTCCCAGAAACGCCTCAGTAACAGTTCCACTTGATCAAGAGATTCCTGCCTGGCGTCAGATGAGGCCTGAGCCCCAAGTAAAGCTGTCCTACGCGTTTGCTGACCACCTCCTGAAACCACCCATCCAAGGCGAGTCTTCTGAAGCGATGGCAAGCCAACATCCAATTTGATTTGGCCAATGCACAGCAGCTCGAAGAATAGGCTAGCCCCAATGAGCAGGTCAATACGCTGTGGCCTGAAGAACTGCGGATCTGCCAATGGTAAATTCGGCGGAATTTTCCAACCAGAAACGTCAACTGAAAAGCTGGGCTGCTGCTCGGTGATTGTGGGAGCTACCAACGCGACGAAACTGGTACTGTAGTCAGAGGCTTGGGACTGCAAGTTGAGTCCCACAGTATAGCCCTCCGATACAAAACTGGAATCCCCAAGACCCGATACTGCGGCCGACGACATGGTCCTTTTCAGTCTAAGTTGTTGGGCGAGGCTGGAGGTTATAAGGTGCATTTGTGATCCGGACTCCAAGAGTGCCCGACACGGTACGAGCGATCCAGCACGATCTCTCAGCAGAACAACTGCAGTGGCTAAGAGCACAACATCCCTGCAAGAGTTCTGTGCAACCAGAGAGGCAGCTGAGGACTGTGGCTGCGCTTCAGGGTGCGGGAATGTAGAGACAACGGGTTCCGTGGGCGAGGGTCTGGCGTTTAAATGCAATAACGTGTGATGTTTGCTACCACAGTGACGACAAGTTGATGACCTGCAAGTGCGCAATTGATGGCCAGCCCTCAGGCAATTCAGGCAAAGACCAAGCTTTTTCACCTCAATTAGGCGAAGGGACGGCGAAAGATTCCCAAACAGCGCGCATGTATATATGCCATGGCCAGCAGTATTGCAAAATAGACACTCAAGAGAAACAGACTCAGTGGCTACAAATGAACTTCTAGCGTTGCTCTGTACTTTTTTAATCTTTCCCACCTGAATGCCAGGCGTATACATTGCCATAGCGTGCTCCCGATTCTCCAACTTCTGACATCTTTGCTCCAGAAAAGCGGTGAATTGTTGGCTTGTGGGTATGCTGTCCAGCGATGACGTTTCCTCCCACTTGGATTGCGTAGCGCTGTCCACCTTCTGCAGCAGGCTCTGTATCAAGATACAGTCTGCAATCTGCTTCGTTGTTCCCATACTCTGCAAAGCCCGAAGATTAGCATTCACAGTGTCCGACAAAGACCGAAGTTGCGACACAGACGAAGCCTCTACGCGCGGAACACCCAGAATGTCCGTGACATGCGCCTGAAAAATTAAACGTTTGTTATTAAAACGCTTATCAAGGAGGTCTAGCGCGATGGGATAGCTGGCGTGCGTGAACTCTAGAGACGAAATAGTGTCTAGTGCTGGTCCTTTCAGGCAGGAACGTAGGTGCTGCAGCTTCTCCACATTTGACAAATCGGTATCCTTGTCTATTATGGAGGAAAACATGCTCCAAAACGAGGAATACTGAGCGTAGCCACCACTGAACTCAGGAAGCCTTAACTCCGGCAGGCGTGGCAGACTTTGCACTACGACCGTAGTTGGGGCCTCTTCTACATGGTCCGTCCGCATTGTTGAGCATGGAAGCATTGTGGGCTGCCGCTTGTTTAACTCCCGTTTCATGCGAATCTCCAGCATGACCACGCACTCGTCAAACTCCTCCCTCAAGGGACTACCGATCTCATCGAGATCAATCCTCTCCAGGGCATTATGGTGCTCGTTGAATGAAACTACAAGCTCCGCTAGCAATTTCAGCCTCACGTTCAGCTCCTCCTCACTGAGCTCGCCAATTCTCTCCTTGCCAACGGCCGTTTCGATTCTCCGTGCTGCCCCTACCATGGATTGCACCTTGCGCTTGTAGAATGCAGCTTCCGAATCGACGAACAATGGTGAGGGGGGCAAGAGTGGGGGGGTGCTATTAGAAGCCATTGGGTAGGATTACGACGCACTGGGTTACAGTTTCTGAAGCACGGAGAGGTTAATAACCGGTGAATAACCTCGAACAGTTTGATAGGAACTGTACACTCGATCGCAGCGCTCAAACACACGGGCTCACAGTTCTACAGGCCAGCAGCGAAAGTTCACAGTTTTAAAAGAACTGAGTAGGTGCAGCTGACAACAACAATGGCATGCACACTTAGAGCACCGAAAACCGAAACGAAACAACCGCAAGACAAACCGCAAAGCAGATGACGCGAGAACCGTTTATGTTGCTTGTGCACAAACGCCGAATCGAAAAACCGTGGTACAAAGCGAATTAAACAACCGACAAGTGTTATTTGCAAGGCATATATATGTGTATATATATAAATATATATCGATTATATCACGTCGGGGTCACCAAAATGTTGAGCTATTGAGATTTTTCAATAGCGTAGAGTTAAATCGACAATTTGTACTTTGATTAATTCACAACACAGTTTGTTTGATTATGTTAGTTTCTTTATTTGCCATGCAAGGCGAGTGGGAATAGTATGGGCAAGAGTTAGCAACAGGCGGACCCGTGGTGGACCGTGTTGAAGCGAGAACAATAATGGGTTTTTGTATAAAAGGTAATAACGATGTAGCAGGTCACTGTGCCAACCGACGATATGTTGTACGTTTGATGATGCTAGATTTCGAAGTGTCTCTGCTGCGCAGACGAGCCTCCCTCACAGCCTTCGTCGGCTGACGATTTTCGGGAAGGGGAAAATGACTCAAGAGCGCAGAGTCAGGTAGGTAATGTTGTGCATAAGAGCTTAGCTCTGCTCTCTTTGCGCTGCCATGGGCCGGCGCTTAGCCGAACAATGTTCTTTATCTACTATAATGAAGGCGAGAGGTGACTCTTGGTGATCTTTATTTGGCGACAGGGCCGTATTTATAGCTAAGGTTTACATTGGTTCTTATGGCTAGGTAAGCTTTACATGAGAGAAAGGAGAATGCATGCTAAACTTAATGTAATTCTAATAGCCTGTTTACACTACGACTGAGCTATTGCGCTCACTCGCAGTTGCAGCATTATTCCGAGTGCGTTTAGTTGGTGGTGCAGTAGAAGAAGACATTGTACGGTTGAGTTATTGAGTTATTGCGTTTTGGGCAAAACTCAGTTTGTATACCCGTACTCAAAAAAGAGTTAAGGGTTATTTTAGATTAGTGATCAAAGTGGATGTGTGTAACGCAGAGAAGGAAACGTTTCCGACCCCATAAAGTATATATATTCTTGATCAGCATCAATAGCCGAGTCGATAGAGCCATGTCCGTCTGTCCGTCTTGATGAGCGCCTAGATCTGAGAGACTATAAGAGCTAGAGAAACCAAATTTGGTTTCCAGCTTCATGTGATATCACACTGCTACAAGTGTATTTCAAAATTTCGCCCCGCCCCCTTCCGCTCGCACAAAGAACGAAAATCTGTGGCAGGCACATTTTTAAAGATACGATAAAACTAAAGATTGTACATGTACCATTTATATTCTACATCTCCTCCGCTAGGGGTTGCTCGCGCACTGAACGCGGCAGAGTGTGCGAGCGAGAAGGAAAATGAGTTGCGTTATCGTTGGCAGGATGGGGCAGGGGAAGCAACTGAAAATTAATTTCTTCATTCTGGCTATAATTATGATCCGATCTGATTCAGATTCGGCAGTCTGGTAGATATGGGCATTCTCTACGATACTGCGTTTCAGTTTTATCATATCTTTATAAATGTGCCTGCCACAGATTTTCGACCTTTGTGGGGACGGAAGGGGGCGGGGCGAAATTTTGAAATACACTTGTAGCAGTGTGATATCACATGAGTCTGGAAACCAAATTTGGTTGCCCTAGCTCTTATAGTCTCTGAGATCTAGGCGCTCAACAAGACGGACAGACAGACAGACAGACGGACAGACAGACATGGCTATATCGACTCGGCTATTGATGCTGATCAAGAATATATATACTTTATGATGTCGGAAACGTTTCCTTCTCTGCGTTACACATCTAATATACCCCTTAACTCTTTTTTGAGTACGGGTATAAAAATAGTCTTAAGCAACGCAAACAAGGAGAGAGCCCTGCCAGCATACCAGATGTACGTGCGCCTACACGAACTCCAAAGCCTGGCACAGTTCACACTGTTGGCCACAGAGTTCGAGAGTATCCAAGAGCGGACCATTCCGACCACTTTCGCACCCCCGCGGAGCACACCAAGACACGCAAGGCCAGCTACAGAGCAGAGCAGAGGAACAACGACTCGCACAGGACGCCATTTCGGAGACCCCATTGGGAGTCGGCAGACACACCAGGAAGACCGCCAGCCCATCCAAACAGTACGGCGAATCCCGATGTAGCATATTGCATTATGACGACCCCCATCACCAGCCCACGCGCGGCCTGTCGCCTGTGTGGTGAAGCCGGGCATGCGACACACGAATGCACAAAATCCTTTGATCCTATTCTGCTGGGAATGTGGTAAACACGGCACACGGACCGTCGATTGCTGCAACAGACACAGGATCAGCCGGGAACGACGCCTCCTCCAACCCGCGACTAAAGAACTCTCTACACGTGAGCAAAGGCCGGATAGTGGCGATGGTGAACATAGGTGGACACGCAACGGAAGCCACAATCGACACCGGGGCATCCAGAAGCTTCATCAGCGCAAACCCCGCCCGACAACTAGACAACAACACCAACCTGCAAGTTGCATGCGTCCGCATGCGAACCCACGTCCACGACCTACCACAACGCACACGGCATCCAATAACGCAAGCAATCGGGAAAACGAGTCCCACGGTCACTACGGAGCAACCGCGTCCTAGGCCAACAACAAGGAACACGCATCCCAAACAAACCACGAGGATCTTACACACGAGACAAACGCACTTGAACCCGGCGCTCGACACAGGAAGCCCAGGTCCAAGACAAGCAACAGAGCAAGCACGCAGAGGATCCGCAACGGAAAAATTGAACATACGGTAGCCCTCAGAGCCGACCACCAGCATCGAACAAGGACAACGACAGACAAAATCCAACAGCCCAGCAGCGAGGGAAACAGCTACGCTAACCCCACGCTTGTCGGGGCCAACAATCGAACTAATATCAACACAGCCTCCCCGCCAGGACCCGGAAACCAGGACGATTTTGATGAACAATACCTTAATCGACGCCTAATTAATGCGTCTATCTAAAGCTAAAAATGCATGCCAAGAACTTTTTTTTTCGCCTTATACCGAGTTTTTAAGTCGAAATTAAAAAAAAAAATACTGCAAACAAATTATGAAATTTGAATTTGAAAGCTTAATATCTTCCAGGCGTTAAGCTGCAGTTACAAAATGTCTGGGTCGGATTTATAGCTGCATTTGTTAGCTTTTTATAACTGCATAGTCCTATACAACCAGATACAAGATACTTAAATTATGTGAAAAATAAAAGCACTACCTCTGAAAAAAAAACATTAAAAAAATACCAGATTTTAAAAAATTCTTAAAAAAAAACTTAACCTTAAAAAAAACCATAATTCGTTAAAAATTTTAAACCCCAAAATCTATAAGAAAAGGTAATTTTGGGCCACAGCCTAATTGTCGTGTAGACTAGTATAATAAATGAGGAATACAAAACCCTACTCAGGGAATACAAGAAGGAAATACGCAAGGCACAAAGAAACTCGTGGAGGAAGCTTTTGCTCCAATATCGAGAATGTACCAGAAACGGCCAGACTCCGGAAGTTGCTATCAATGCAACCCACCCAGAGTCAGCTGAAATGTTGGACAGTGAACTGAGAGCAGTGAAGAAGCCCTAACAGCACTAATGGAAGCTCACTTCCCAGGATGCACCGAGGTTGCTGACGCTACAGAGCATCAGGACCTAGCAACTGAGGAACAGCACCCTATAACAGATCTCATATCATCTAAGAGAATCCACTGGGCTATAGACTCCTTTGCGGGTAAAAAAGCACCTGGACTAGACGGTATATTTCCAGCCATGCTTCAGGCGACCAAAGACGTGATCACCCCATGGCTCTCTGCAATATACTCAGCTTGCCTGAGCACATGCTATATCCGTATCCAATGTAGGACCTCGAGGATTGTCTTCCTTCCAAAGGCAGGAAAGTGCAGCCATATGAGCCCCAATGACTATAGACCGATAAGCCTCACCTCTTTTCTACTCAAAACACTAGATCTACACTAGGTCTACACATCAAAACGATGGCACTGCATTCGCTAGTAGCCACCATCGAAAATACCATCCAAAATAAATAGTATGCTCTAGGAGTGTTCGTAGACATATCCGGAGCATTCAAAAACGTTAATACGAGCGCGATACCCTTATCTCCTAGAATCGATCAACACACATCCCGCTATCAACCTCTGGATAAAGAACCTTCTAAGTTGTAGACGGGTGTATTCAGAGTGGGGCACCGCTTCCATGGTGAAAGGGGCAGGGTCGGATATAGTCGCCCCTCCTATGGAATCTGGTGGTCGACGACCTAATAAAGAGATTCGAGAGGAGAGCCCCAAAAATAACAGCTTATTCGGACGACATAAGCATAAATATTACGGGAGTGTGCCCATCTAGCCTCAGCTCTATAAAAAAATCAACACTCAGGGAGATATGT